AAATCCGGCTCTGGTTCATTGACCGCCTGTAGTATCATCCACTAAGAGAGAAGAGACCTAACTAGTGCCAGAAACGAGTGGAAATAAGCTACAACGCTCTCCGCCAACGTTGCCGGTCCCTGATCAGCAGGGAGAAATTGAGGGAAGAAACATTAGTCTCCTAGACCGTGAAAAATATCAGGAGTGAATGAACATTTGTTGTTCATCAATCGCTGATAGTATAATATAATATAATATGATATAATACAAGTCATAGTTCAATGCGTTCGCCGTATGCGCTCCGTGGCGTTTGTGAGCTATGGAAACGTGTGGCACGCTCTGAAAGCTAGAATCGTTTCGGTTTTGGAAAACGGGTTGGAAAATAAAAAGAGCTTGGTGAGCACTTATGTTTGAAGGTTATGAACAATATTATTGTCCGGATTTTATCATTTAATCTTCACGGCAGGCTTGCGTACATTAGTTTATTCTTTGAAAACACGTTTAGAGAATAGGATTGAAACAGGCATAGGTGTGCCCAGGCGCGCAAATCCATTTTGAAATGTGGGGAGGACACCAGTAGCGAGCACGCGAAGGGGGGGGGGTGTCTGGAGCCCTTCCCCAGAATAAATTTTGAAATTAGACCCCCCTCAGATGCGTTTTCTGCGCGAGTGGGGGGGGTAAACTCTGCGGGCCCAGCAAAATAAAAATAAAGACGCGCAGAAATATCAGATGTAGGTATGGCCATTGTAATCGCAACTTCTTATGTCCATCCTCCCTGCTTTAAACGCGTAACAATGTTTACAAACGTTGCCAGATGCTGAATTTGTGCGGAGACTGAGATTGTGACAATAATATAAATAAATCACATTTTCAGAGTTGAGGAATACGATGTCGAGTAATGGGAAGTTATGAATTTAAATGTATACGAAATGCATGTAATAATAATTATACGTTACGTATTATATCGTGAGCGCATCGGTAATTTTTCGTGAAATTCGAGGAGCACTTTTATTATAGGAGCAGCACCTACACTCGACACTATGTGCTTGAATCGCGGTAAATCGACAACAAAAATAAAAAATTTAGGGGTAAGCCCGCGGTAAATTTTGCTTCAACGCTGACATGGCTTTGGAAAGTAAGAAAGGAAATGCACTTTTCTCGTTGCGGTAATCGTAGCTGTTAGAAACATGCCTCGGGGCTCTGTGGATTACGTACACTTGTAAACTTTCGTAACACGTTCGTGAACGTTCGTAAACGTTCGTAAACGTACGTAACACTAGTCAAGCCTGATTCTGCCGCTACCCAGGAACCCAGGAACGGGCTATTCTCTCCGCAATAGAAAACTTTATTATAGGCATATCCACTAACGGAAATGCAGCCGACTTAGCTGGAAGAGAAGAGTGAAGAAGCGAGCGAGGGTATAACGTCGGGGGACGTGAGCACGAGCGTAGGGAAACGTTTGAACTGGGTAGCTGATTCGGAGCATTAGCTAAGGTCGTTTATCTGACGTAAAGTCGTTAGCTATCGGACTAGTGGTTATGGAAGGGGCGCTTCGCGGACGTTACGTCATCACATGATCGCGGTAGATTCAAAGAGTGTATCCCAGCGCAGTACTGCTGACGTTAGAGTTAGAGTTAGATGTGCGCGCGTGTAACAGCCAGTATTAAAGCAATTATTTTATTTTATCTTTTCTCAACAATCTGAGCGCTGACTGGCACATGGGGCGTGCACTAATCTGCATTGTACGTGCATGGTAGATGTCTTTTGAACAAGTTTTATAGTTTAACCATATTAATATCTACTAATAAACGCTACTAATATCTACTAATTTAATTGTGAAAATAAGCATATCATATGTGCAATTATGAAGCTTAAGAGCTTTCTAAATATTTGCATTTATATCTTGCGTAAGCTCTGGTGCAACGCATATAGACACAAAATTGTCTACATCATACGAAAAATATGCCCTTTTATAATACGTTTTTGAGTGATATTTTTATATTCCTTTTAGCAAAACTCAGATACAGAGCTGCAAGTTTATAGCAAATAGAAGAATTAACTCGTCGTATTTCTTTATGCTTGATCAATCAGTAATATATCTAATATCTAATACGTGAGACCTAATATGTATTATTTATCCATGCGTTTAAATTTGCTGCGAGATTTAATTTGATTAAATTATTACTATATTAATAATTAATTTAATTTAATTAATTTGGGAGATAATCAGTTTAAGCCGCTCAATGTTTTACATGTCGTGCGATAGGTAAGAATAATGCCATGTGTAAACAACTTCCACCTACACGCGTGTAACTGAGCCTAGCGCCCGAATAATGGTGTCACTCTGAATCCGGTCATACTGAGTCTCGCGTTGTTTGTACAAATTAATCCCTGTTGGCCCTGGTGGTGACACCACCCACTTCTCGTGTTACCTAATTTAAACAACTACCTCCCCCCTCTATCTGATGTTGCGCTGAAAGAGCAGGGAAAGCCCAAAGGGAAAAATCTCAGAAGATCACGCACAAACTAAAGAGAACGCATGGTTGAGACAAGCAGCACCATTCAACCTGGTCGCTAATGATTAAATGCGCTACATGTGTATTTGAATGAAAGCTATGAATGAAGAATATGAATGAAGTTTGAGTATAAACGATACAGATGTTATTATTTCCGGCACACTACACATTTTAGTCGTTTGCGTTCAACTGACTGTAGAGCTCTGAATTGTTAAAAGGCACATTAATTGTCAGGTGACGATTACGAATTTTCTGGTGACAAAACGTAGAGCGTTGGCCTTTGCACCGCGAGATCCTCGTGGGCACGAGCGCAGTTTTACTTGATTAGGTTTTGTACGTCAAAAACGTGCTCCGTTTGCCTAGAAGGTGTACAAAGATCCTAGAGGCAATACGTATGACAAACTGCACGTTATAGCTATCTGTCGAACTCTGCTTATCTCGTCTTGCCATCGAGCAATCTAATCACTAGTGTAATATTCCCCTGGAGAGAGAGAGAGGGAGAAATAGAAAGAGAGCGAG